ACTCGACTTGTCTCAGCTTTAAGATCACTTTCTCAGGAAGCATTGCCTGGCTTCCCTGGAAGGAATTAAGTCTCCATGTTACATACCATCTTTCTTGTAGATCTGGTGTGATACATTACCACACCAGATACATTACATTTTTAAAGAGAAGTTAAGGTCTGGACTTAAAAGTGAAATTCCTGTTTTTAATACTGGCAAGTAATTAAAAAATATAAAACATCATGGGCTGTCTTAGTTATCTAGTGCTGTTATAACAGAAATACCACAAGTGGATGGCTTTAACAAACAGAAATTTATTCTCTCACAGTCTAGGAGGCTAGAAGTCTGAATTCAGGGCGCCAGATCCAGGGGAAGGCTTTCTCTCTGGGGGAAGGTCTTGGCATCAATCTTCCCCTGAGTCTAGGAGTTTCTCAGTGCAGGGACCCTGAGGCCAAAGGACACACTCTGCTCCCGGCTCTACTTTCTTAGTGGTAGGAGGTCTCTCTCCTCTCTGCTCAATTATCTCTTCTATATCTCAAAAGAGATTGACTCAAGATATAACGTAATCCTATAGATGATGTCCTGCCTCATTAACATAGCTGCCTATAATCCTGCCCCGTTAACATCACAGAGGTTAGGATTCACAACACATAGGATAATTATGTCAGATCACAAAATGGAGGACAATCACAAGATACTAGGAATCATAGCCTAGCCAAGTTGACACACATTTCTGAGGGACACAATTCAATCCATAACATGGGCCAAACTAAAATATCTGTAGGTTAGTGATTGCCTGTGGCCTGCCTGTTTGCAACCTGTGCTGTTCAACCTTTGGCTATACTTGTTAACTATTTTTGTGTTAATCATCACTCCATTATTATTCCGTTTATGAACTGTCCACTCCATACCAGGCACTGTGCTTGGTGGTTTACACAAATGAGCTCATATAATTTCCAGAACCACCTGTGAGGTCAAGTAAGGTTCAGAGATGTTAAGACACTTTTGAGCAAGGTCACAAGTGGTGGAGCCAAGCATTACAGTTCTTTCCACTGCACTACTCTGTGTCAAGGTATGGTTTGTCAGTTTAGAAGGGGAGAGATTTCTGAAGCTCTGCCTAACAACAACTGCTAATATTTGTTGAGTGCTTACTATGTGCCAGGCATTGTGCTAATTGTTCTACATGATCTGATTTGATCTTCACAACTCCTATAGGAAGGAGCTGCTGTTATCCTTATCTTATAGATGAGGAAACAGATATATCCAAGGTAAAGTCAGATTCACCCAGGGTAAAGACAAGATTCAAACCTAGACATTCTGATGCCACAGTCCCCACTCTTAGGAACCTCTATCACCAATTTGGGTTTGTGGCAGAGTAATGGGCTGAATGGGAAAAGCGAAAAATTTATAAATCCAATCCAGAGCCGCCCTCCCCCCCCCAAAAAAAACAAAACAAACCCATTACCATCAAGTAATCCAACTACAGCAATCCTACAAGACAGGGTAGAACTGCCCCATGTGGTTTCCAAGGCTGTAATCTTTACGGAAGTGGGCTGCCACATCTTTCTCCCACAGAGAAGCTGGTGGGTCTGAACCGCTGACCTTTCAGTTCACAGCTGAACATTTTAACCACTGTACCACCAGGGATCCTTAGAGCCCTATAGAGGACTCAAGACAGAAATCCCCTGGGTATTTCCACGAGTCCTCTATTGAGAGGTTTGGCCTGCAGGTGGCAGCAACGTTAACATTATCTTCTCTAAATTCTGCACCGTTCAAAGCAGTAGTGAGGAAGCTTTATATATTCACATTGATTCATTTGCATATCGTTCTCTGATTGGCCCAATTAATTATTTGCCATTTAATTTGCCTTCTTGGTTCTCAGCCCGGTGAGAACTGGCAGGCTTGTGGAGTTGTTCACCAATGTGTAGGAAGAAAGAGCGCTCAGGATTTGAAACGACGGTAAACTCAGGTGAAGTCATTCAGTTCCACAGCCATCGCGGTGATATTAAACTATGTGTGGCAGAGCCTTTTTTCAGTGGTCCCCAAAACTTTTCGAGTTCCTTAGTTTTTTGGTTTTTTTAACTCCCTTTTTTTTTTTTAAGGAACAGTAATATAAACATTTAAGAAAATTCAAATAGCACAAAAGGGTACATAGTGAAAGTCACTTTCCCTATCACGCCGATCCCATGTCCCACCAACACTGCCCGGTCCTGCACCATCCTCACAATCATTGCTATGTTTGAGCCCATTGTTGCAGCCACTGTGTCCTTCCAACCTGAGGGGCTCATCTTCTGGCACTGTATCATACAACATTCCACTGCTATTCATAAGGTTTTCACTGGCCAATTTTTTTTTTTTTTTGTACTTTAGATGAAGGTTTACAGAACAAATAGTTTCTCATTAAACAGTCAGTACACATATTGTTTTATGACATTGGTTAACAACCCCACGACATGTCAACAACACTCTCCCTTCTTGACCTTGGAGGACCCTTTTTTTTTTTTTTTAAATATTCATAGCCAAAGATACACCATTTCAAAAATTTCTACATGTACACTTCAGTGACATCGATTACATTATTTCACTGGCCATTTTTTCCAGAAGTAGACTGCCCCCCAGGTACTTCTTCCTAGTCTGTCTTAGTCTGGAAGCTCCGCTGTTACCTGTCCACCATGGGTGACTCTGCTGCTATTTGAAATACTGATGGCATAGCTTCCAGCATCACAGCAACACGAAAGCCAGCACAGTATGACAAACTGACAGATGCATGGTGGCATTAGTCATCAGGGAAATGCAAATTTCATTGAAATATCACTTACATACCTATTAGAATGTCCAAAAACAAACAAATAATAATGATAAACCAACTGACAATACCAAATACTGTTGAGCATGCAGGGCAACCGGAACTCTCATACATTGCTGGTAGAAATGCAGATGGTATATAGCCACTTTGGAAAACAGTTTAGGGTTTTCTTACATGTTAGACATACATTTACCATACAACCCTACAATCCCACTACTGTACAAAGATTTTACAAAAATCTGTACATATTTACCCAAGAAAAATAAATATTTATGTCTATACAAAACCTGTACATAAATATTTACAGCAGCTTTATTCACAATTGATTAAAAAAAAAAACCTGGAAACTACCTGTTCTGGATTGAATTTTGTCCCCACAAAATATGTGTTGTAAACCTCTATGTCTGTGGATGGAGCCCTGGTGGTACAGTGGTTAAGAGCTTGCCTGCTAACTGAAAGATCAGCAGTTCAAATCCGCTAGTCACTCCATGGAAATTCTATGGGGTGATTCTACCCTGTCCTATACGGTCACTGTGAGTCGGAATTGACTCAACGACCTTTTTTTTTCTTTTTTCTTTTTTGGTGGTGCAGTTAGTTAGTGGTTAATAAGCACTTGGCTGCTAACTGAAAGGTCAGTGTTAGAACCCACCAGCCGCTCTTCTGGTAAAGATTAACCAAAATACCATTTCGACTCATAATGACTCTATATGCAGAGTAGAACTGCCCCATAGGGTTTCCAAGGCTATAACTCTTTAAAGAAGCAGACTGCCACATTTTTTCTCCTGTGGATGTCTCATGGATTCAAGCCGCTGGCCTTTCACTTAGCAGCTAGCAGCCGCTTGCTTAACCACTGGGCCACCAGGACTCCTCGGGTAAAGTTTACAGCCTTTGAAACCGTATGGGGCAGTTCTACTCTGTCCTATATGGTTGCTATGAGTTGGAATCAACTTGATGGCAACCGGTTTTATACTTAATTTTTTAAGAAACTGTAAAACTGTTTTCCAAAGTGGTTGTATCGTTTTACAATCCCACCAGCAGTGAGAATCTGATTGCTCTACATTCTCATCAACACTTGGTATTGCCAGTCTTAAATTTAGCCATTCCAGTGAGTGTGTAGTATTATCTCATTGTGGTTTTAATTTGCATTTCCCTAATGACTAATGATGTTTCATATCTTTTCTTGTGTTTATTTGCTATCCGTATACCTTCTTTGATAAAATGTCTGTTTAAACCTTTTTTTAACTGAGTTGTCTGTCTTCTTGAGTTGAAAGAGTTCTTTGTATATTCTAAATACTAGCCTTTGTTGGATATGTGTTTTGCAACTATTTTACCCCAGTCTGTGTGAGTGCCTTTTCATTTTCATTAAGTATCTTGAAGAGTATAAATTTTAATTTGGATGATGTCAAATTGATTATTTTCTTTTATGGATTGTATTCCTGAAGATCAGAAAGATTTTCTCCAGTGTTTTCCTCTAGAAGTTTTATAGCTTTATGTTTTACATTTAGGTCTAATTTGGGTCCTGACACAATCAGTTTGGCATTTTAGAAATGCCATACTGGAAGCTGTATGGAGCAGGATGGCCTGAAGGCCTGAAACCAGTGAGAGCTTGGAGAGAGATGACGGAAGCCTCCACTAAGTAATGGTACTGGAGAAAGTTGGAAGGAAGAGATATTTGGGATGTAGAACGACCGGTCTTAATAGACTTAGGAGGTGTCAAGAATGATTCCTGGGTTTCTTACTTATTCAGAAAATTGAGGGTAACTTGCTTGTAAGTTTTTTGCACTTCAAATTGGACCCCCAATAGTTTTTCGTTTTGGGAGATTATGACGGATATTTGGTCAGACAGGGACTGGACACAGCTTTCTAAAACTTCCATCAGCTCCTTTCTTGGGCACTGTGTGGAGCACAGTAATGAACTTTCTCCTCTCAAGCTCCGAAGACCTTTGCCTTCCTTGGTATCAGCAAAGGTGCCCGGCTGTTTTTGCACTCAGGGCGCGGACAGCAGGTGGCGCCTGCCCAGAGAGACTGCATGCGGGCGGACCTCCCAGAGAGCAAAGGGCGTGAAGTTCCCGCCATTTTGTCCCGCTCGCGGCACAGCTGGCCCCTGCTAGAGACTACAAGCCCCGTGAGCCTCCGCGTTGGCACTTCCTACCCACCACTGTCCAGCCCGCTCCCCTTTCCCCCCTCCTTCCCGGGGGCCGAAGGCTCTGTGGCGGGCCGGGTAGGATTTCCGGGAGAAACTGCTGTGGAGACCAGGTAGGCGGCGGCGGTGGCGACCTAGGTGAGTGAGGGAGGGAGGGAGGGAGGAAGGAAAAGTGAGTGCGAAGTGCGTGGGGCTGGGCTGCGGGCGTCTCTCCGGCTCAGGCCACGTTCTTGGCTCCACGAGGGGGTCGCGGTCCGGGCGGGGGGTAACGGCCGGGACCGCGGTCGCGCCGGGCAAGGGCGGGACGGGCCGGGGCCTCCGCCTCTCTCCTTGGCCCTCCCACGACGGTCCCGCCGTGGTTTCTCCGCCTGCAGCGGCGCCCAACGCTGGCTGGTCTTCTCCGCCTCCCACGACTTGGCCAGGCCCTTTTGTTTGGGCTGCTTTTCGCCCCTTTGTGCCGGTGCGTGTAGTCGCCACCTCGGAGGAGCCTGCCGGGCCAGTCCCTGACGAGGACCGGTCTCTGGGGATCCGGTTACGGTAACCAGATCAGGTCAAAGTCCTTTTTTCAAAACCGTCCTCCTTCAGACTTATGTGTCCTGGTTGGGCAGAGCGAAGTCTTCGAACCCAGGCACGGGCAGACGGAATTTCTGTAGAAAACCTCGAATGTTATTGTCTAACTCCTAAACGTCAGCCTCGGGCGACTTCAGGGCACGAATCTGCAGGCGTTTTTCTTGGAAGAGAAGCGAGAAATTAGGAAGGAATATAATTTACTGCGATGTTTGTTAGATCAAAGGACCAATGCGGATGGGCAGAATGAGAGTTCAGGCACCTCTGGTTTCTCGAAGGAGGGAGAGTGATTCATACGGCAGCGAGCAGCCTTTCCATTCATTGCGTGCAAAAAAAAAAGACTACAGTACTTTATCCGTCCACTCAGTTCCTCGGCTTCCCCCAAATCCTTTTCTTATCTCGTTTATTTGAAACTAAAAGTCTCAAGAACAAGTCCATTAATAGAAAGATCTGCTTTACAGAGAAACTAGAAACCTGATGCTTCTAGAAAGCAACAAAAGGGACTAGTTCACCAAGTGAAAGGAATGAATCCAGTTTGGGGGAGAGGTGGTAGACCCTTACTGGAAAGCTGCACTCAGTGGGTTTGATCTAATTTGGTTAGATAATGGTAACTTTTTGTATGTACCGTTGGATATACACTCTGCATTGTTAGATTCAGCTTAAGGTAAAGTTTTCTAACGGCCATTGCATACCACTTTTGAAAAATAGACTAGTTAGTATCTCAGGTCTCTGGAATGAGGATAGTCAGGACCGCTTTGCATTACTCAGGTTATTGAAGTTATATATGTTGAATTCCCACCCTGGCCAAGTAGGCAAATAAAGCCCTTTGTACGTTTTTGCTTTGTTTGGTATCTCGTAATGGAAATTAGAAGTGATTTACTCTGAGGATCCCAGATGATGTTTGTAATAGTGTATAGGAATGGAAGGTTCTTAATGCAATTGTTCTTCAGTTAAAAAAAAAATTATTTTGTTGTTGTTGAGAATATGTACAGCAAAACATACACTGATTCAAGTTTCTTCACGTACAATTCAGTGACATTGATTCTTGAGTTTTGCAACCGTTCTCACCCTCCTCTTCTGAGTTGTTCCTTCCCCATAACATAAATTCACTGCCCCCTAAGGTTGTTCTTCAATTTTAGTCCAGCAGTGGGTGAGGGTTGTTTGTGTGCTCTGAAGAAGCATCCGCATAATTGATCTAGAAGTTTTTAAAATAAGGTACAGCAGTTGCTAGTGATTGGCTGTTACTTATTTGTTCAGATATGATACTGAAAGCAGTTCACATGTAGTTTAATTCTGTTTACATTTCTGTCAGGTGGTTATTCTCTCATTTTACAGTTGATAAAACTGAGGCTTTAAAATGTCAAGTGGCTTGCCCAATATTGTACAATTAACCCAAATTGTAAATAGCAGAGAAAACCATACTCCCAAGTCCAGTGCTCCTCCCTTTACCTCACACTTATTGCAACTACTTGTCATACCACCACCACCAGCTTTTTATTTGCTGAAATCTAAATATTGGAGAAAAATAATGGAAATATTTTCTGGAGCAGACTTATTTATAAGGAACTGGAATTTCTGGAACCATGAACAATGAGTCTTCCCCATAACTCATACTAAACGTTGGTCTCATTGCCTTGTCTTATGGTGTGCTGTGATTCCCTTGTGCCTAAGCAGAATGGCAATTTTAAGGAGCCCTAGGGGTGGAAGGGTGGTGAGTTATAGGCTGTGGTTTTCACTAATCTTTATAGAAAAGGTTTATTTACTAACAGGTTTTGACCAATCTTTACCAAAAGGTTTATTAAGAAGTATGTTGGAGAACATAGATACAGCAGCTTTGGCTGCTGAAACTAACATTGAAGACTAAACTGAAGTTCGGATATTTATCTAGCCAACATGTTTCTACTTTCAATAAAAACTTTTAGACCAGTTTCAAACCTGCACTTTAGTCTTGGATTTATGTCAGTACATGCCGTGAATATGACATCAGGAATAGAAACCCACGTACTTTATCTCCCTTAAATTCTTCTTAGGTAAAATGTATAACATGCCAGTGGAATTGAGTCAATATAATTAGTCTAGCCTTTCTAACTGGCAGAAGCCTGTTTTAAGTCTCTTTTATAATGCCATCTTGAAGAGCTTTTTTCTCTTGTGTTTTTTTTTTTGCTTTAGGTCTACTTTATTTCCAATTCCATTCATTCAACCACTCATTAACTTCAATCAACAGATAGTTATTGAAAGCCTTTTATGTTCCATGTACTGTTCTAGATCCTGAGGAGAAAACAATGAAAAAAGAAGTTTTCTCTCTTGGGGATTACAGCCAGATTGGGATAGAGGAGGAGAGCTGAGTCAGACAGTGAATAAGTAACCAATAAATAAAATCCCCTCTTATTAACTATGTGACTTTGAACAGCCCACTTAAACCTCTTTGAGCTTTAGTTTTCTTGTCCTTAATGTGGGGATAATGATTCCTGCCCTACCTACCTTGTGGAATTGTTTTCAGGAGCAAGTGGGATTAAGTATTTGGTTGCATTATATACTTCAAAATTCCTGTATATGTTATTGTTACTACTATAGAAAAAGGGGAGCCCGGGAGGCACACTGGTTAAGAGCTCGGCTGCTAACCAAAAGGTTGACAGTTTGAATTCACCAGCCACTCCTTGGAAACCCAACCCTATGGGGCAGTTGTACTCTGTCCTATAGGGTTGCTGTGAGTCGGAATTGACTCGACAGCGGCGGGATTTGGTTTATAGGAAAAGGAACTTTGGAAGAAGGTTACTTATAAGGAAAGAGAAGGAAATAGATGGATTCTCTGGCCTGAGAGAGTCCTGTGTTCCATTGTAAAACTTTCTGTGACTTCTCCAGGCTGTTAGTCACATTTTCACATGGGTTACCATAACCCTTTAAATAAATCTCTTTTACAATATTTATTGAAGACTATTATTATTTGTCTCTTAGTGTCACAGTTCACTGTCTTGATGGCAGGGACTATGTCCTGGTCTTCATCCTTAGTAATTAGCACACAAAGTTGCAGGTATTTCATTTGAATTTTAAAAATGCTATTGAATGAGTGAATAACAAAAGTGAGCAGGGGCAGTTGTGGAGAATTCCAGAACACAAATGCCAAAATGGTCCTTTTATTCAGCAGATATTTTTGTTATGCCTATTGTGTGGGTTATGTTCTGGAGGTACAAAGATATGGCCTCTGCCCTTGAAAAGCTTACAGCATATAACTGTATTGAATAGTGGTGTGTTATGATATAGATGAGTGACTGGATGATTCTGTTCTGGAAGACAGTGAAGGAAGGCATTACAGAAGGAAGTGATTTTGGAGCATTGTCTTGAGGGATGAATAGGAATCTGCGAAACCAATTGCCATCAAGTCGATTCCAACTCATGGCAACCCCATGTGTGTCAGAGTATAACTGGGTCAGTACTGTGCTCAATAGGGTTTTTTTTATTTTTTATTTTTTCTTAAATATTTTATTGTACTTCAGGTGAAGGCTTACAGAACAAATAGTTTCTCATGAAACAGTAGTACACATGTTGTTTTATGACATT